AAAACTATAATAAAATAAATCTATACACATCAATCTGTCCAGGTCAGTGTTCTCAGCAGAAATTGTATGGAGCACTTTTAAAAAAATGTTATTATAAGGAAAATAATTAAACCATTATGGTAAATAGAGTTAAAAATGACCTTTTAATGAAATTTTAAAGGTTGATTGAGATGGGTTGTTGGTGAATGTATAGGTTTTAATGGCCAGATTGGGTAGCAATACACGAACAAAGGAAAATTAAGTCCTGTTTAAAAAAGATTTAAGACCTACAACACAATATTTTAGTAATTTTAAGGCCTAAAAGTTTGATTTTGAGATTAAAGACTTTTTAAGTCCCTGCGGACACCCTGATATAAATATAAAAAAAACATATTTTTTCAGCACCATTACTGCAGTCTTCAGCATCACATGAACCTTGTGCTTTCTGTTTAAGAAATCATTCCTATTATTGTCAATGTTGAAAACAGCCATTCTGCTGTTTAAAAAAATGTGTAAAACTATAAATGACCAAGAATCAAAGTATTAATTTCTTCTCTAACAGACCCCAAACTTTTGAAAGGTGCCACATGTCCTGTCCATCATTTAAAGAGCCCATATTATACATGAAATAAGGTCATATCTTGGTTGTAAGGGTCTCCAACAACAGTCTAATATGCATGCAAGGTCAAAAAACACTTTCATGGTCTTATAATCTGCATTTATTTTTATCTAATTATCCCAGCGACTCCTGTATGAATCGTCCAGTGATTCATTTGTTCCCAAACCCCTCCTTAGCGCGAAGCTAATCTGCGCTGATTGGGCCGATGACAGTCTGTCGCGATTGGTCGACTGCCTTCAGTCAGAGAGGGAAATGACCAATAGCTAATCAGCAATTTAAAAAGTAATCACAGTTCATACACGCTCGATAGTGTAGAAGTGGACTTTAGCTGCCACACTATGGCGAGTGGATAGTGCCACGGATAACCGAACGAAGGAGACAGTCGTGTACTCGCCATACCACACACACACAAAAACACACACACACCTCCGGATGACAACGCTCCCGCTTCAGCCCGCACCCGCCAGGTTTTAGCCTGAGAACCCGCTCCGTTTTCTGCCCGCCGCGCCCGGTCCCGCTAGAGCGGAGAACACAACCAAATATCACCCAGTATACAGTCCAGACAGCCAAGCTGTCTGTATCAAAACACACACACAGCACAAAGTACACAAAGCTCGTTCGTTCGTTCGCTCTCTCTCTCTCGCTCTCTCTCTCTCTCTCCCCGCGCCAGATTTCTGCGGCGCGGGAATACATTTCCGAATAAATCGCGGGAGCAGAACTCTAGCACGGAGCTCCATAAACAAACAGCACGCGTCGCGTTTTTAACGTGACTTTGCACGCGATAAGATAATATATCCAGTTAACCTGATACAGTACTCGCGGTTACAAGTAACAAATCACAACTAAATACATTTGCAAGCTAGAGTAAACGAGGCAACAACTTTAACCGCACGTACTTACACTTGAGAAATGTAGGAAGAAACCCATCCTGACGTCCATCAGTTACTCTTTACTGATCCTTCCTTTAACAAACTCAGATGAAGTATTCTTTGTAGCATGTAGCTTCCAGAAGTTTCCAACTGCTTGGCTATAATGCTGATGTTTCATCTTTGGGTAGAGACTCAATATAATATCCATCTGCAGTGTGACTTCAATCGACCGGCATGTTTGTGTGCGTGTGTTTGTGGGTGTGCGTGTGTTTGTGGGTGTGTGTGTGTGTGTGTCTGGGTTACTGCGTCAGAGGGCGGGGCCTCAGGTTTGAAATCTCCCGGGTTTGCGCGTGCACGTGAAAAACTTTGTTTCGTTCGTACGTCATGGCGAAACACCTAATGAGTCGGTATCAAGGCGACTCGTTTGAAGCACTATGATTCGACTCTTTTATAGATGAATCAACAGTTTTAAACACTGTATTCTTACAGATTTAAGCCTTAGCTGGATACTTCACTTCACTTAGAGCTGTGTTACACACTACATGGAGGGGAATTTTCAAAAACCCATAATATGGGCTCTTTAAGCTGACATCTTTACGCAATACTCCAAACAACTTGATTACAACTTCCTCCAGCTTCAACACATTCATTTCTTTACTAAGGACTTCTGACCTGATCCTTCAGAAACTCCATCCCATCCGAGACCTTCAACATGCCACGAGAAGCGCTTTCAGTTCAGCGGCACAAAAAGCTGAGAGAGACAGCTACACGTACTTCCTCACAGCTGGATAAAACAAACCTTAACAGCACAACTACGCCTCACCAAAGCGCTCCGTTTTTTCATGTACAGCCTCAAACGTATTGTGTTGTCTCTAGGTACCAGGAACCTATCTATCATTTCAGTCTAAAAACAGAATCTGCATCACCCTCTTCTGTGCGAGTGAAACCCCCCCCCCTCATCCCTTCAACCCCACCGAATTGATTTCTCACAGTCGAGGCCTTTCCCAACGCGGGCCGCATCCGCAACAGTGTCATCTTTACCGCCAGTCCTCTTTTAACTGGCTTTTACTCTAGTGGCGGAATGTACAAACGATGAAGGCGGAGGGGAAGAAAGAAACAGAAAAACTGATACATGCGCTCCAAAGTTTCGTCTATTGATTTCTTTTTGATGCGCAGCCGGAAAAAAAGGGAAGGAGTTCAAAGCTGAGGAGATCTTTTTTTGATCACCACTAGAATAGCTGTGTTGGTAGTCTGCATTGGAAGCAGCGGTGCTAGATGGAAAGTGTTGCTGCGGATTCCTTTGTTCTGGCCGAAGCCCCGTGGCAAGGACCCTGACCTGGTGTGGTCAGCGCCGTCTTTAGCGAGGCGCAACATTAACGCGTGCTGAGAGGTAATCAGGAGGAAATTCAGAGCTTTCCATTTATACGTCACCCTGCCGGCCACAAAGAGAATACGTTTGGCTGCTGCACTGTGGTTAACTGCTTGCGCTCATGTAAGGAGCCATTCAGAGAGTGCGGGGAGCGCGTGGTGAAAATTGAAAATTTTATTAGGGCTTCGAAACATTGTTTGAGCGTCGTTATTGCAATGCGCGCATCTGTGATAGTAACATGGCAGGATATTGAATGTCAAGTAGGGATAAGACACCACAATTCGGAGTGCACATGATTATTTGTACAGTTTAACCCAAAAAGAAAGCATGTTTTTGTTGAAACATGTTTTTGAGGACTGTTACTGTTTTGTTCAGGTAGGGCAATTTGGCCTAAAATCAAAATCTTGATTAACTGAACATTCGGTTACGATTAATGAACGATTATTTCATGTGAAATGTTTCTTTTCTAGGGCAGCTGCTAATCATCGTCAATGTAGTGCAAAGTAAGGCTCAAGAATGAATCCATCGACCTACTTGACCAGAGATCAGATGTGGTTGCAAAGTGGCCACAGAAGTAAAACTCAGCCACAGTCTTTAACAGAACAGGGTCATGTGACACGAAGAAAAAGTAATTGAAAAAATCATCCAGGAAAAATTAGATCGATTATAGGTTCTGAATGTCGATTTCGATTAATCGCCCAGCCCTATGCTAGTGCCATTCGTGCCTCCTGTTCTCGCATAAATCCACCAGAAGCCACACTCGACTGACTGACTGAATGACTGACCAATCAACTGACCCAGCCTCCTCCTTTCTTGAACTCAAACAAAACCAATTGACTTACCCACCCACTTCCCTAAACCCAACTAACAGTTTTAAAAAGAAATCCAGAAAAAAAAACCCTTGCCTGATTTTACCATGTTTTCAGATTTAACCATGTTTTCACCCTGTTATTTACTTGTTTATTTTATTTTTTGGCTTTGTCTTACCCGCTTTCTGGAATCGTTCTTCACCAGACTCAAACCCCGCTGTTGTGGTCAACTCCTCCTTGCGTCTCTAGTCCACGAACGTACATGGCGAGCTTACTGGACAAACTGGTAACAGCGGGAAAGCTGCCCATACGGAAGTAAGCAGTCAGATGGTAAACGTGAAGAGGAACGGCGTCCTACTGCCCCCATAGCGTTCGTTTTCTAGATGAAAAGAAGCCTTACATATTTCTGGCGGCTACATAATTCACGATCTCCAGAAATGTATATAGGGCTCATTTTCAGAATGAGCCTATGCTGGTAGTCTGGCATATTTGATCAAGATTTCATCTAGACAAAAACGCATAATCTGACACAGCAACCGTTGTAACCAACAATTCAAATCATGTAATTTAAACTGATCTTTAGTCAAGAAGACTGCTTGTGAGAGAAAACTGTTGATGGATAAGGGCACAAGCAGAGAGAAGAAAGAAGATGGCAGTTTAGCCCATAATGCGTGCGAATGAGTCAATAATAGATGGCGCTGACCATGTGATAAATGAACAGAGCAGGGAGAGCAAGGGGAACCTGAACACCTCCTGTAGGTGCGTTCAGCTCCATGTGAAGATGCTCTGTGAAGCGTGTTTTACTGGATCCCGGCTCTCTGTGATATGCAGCTGTGTCCACTGGGGGCTACAATTAGACCATCAAACCCATTCCAGCCGGGAATCGGCACACATCTCCAGAGCCTGTCCTCCAAAGAGACGGCCAACTTGTAGATCTGGGGGTGGTAGTCTTTGATGTGCCGTGCATAGCAGAAGCCTCTCTTTTTGCTGGTATTAATGGCGAGGAGATATAACAATTAAAGGAGAAGGCAGCGGGGCGGACAGACAGCACATCCCGAGCTGGAATTAGCATACTGGAAGTCCTCCAAAAGCAGTCCCAGCTAATAGCAGACGAGGATGCAAGAGGAACCAGAAGAACCAAACGTTTATAAAGGAACACCCAGCGGCGGGCTGGGTTTAATAGGGTAATTAGAATCACAGACAACTAGTTATAAAATTATAGCGCAGCCATAATATTTTGAAAACGCTTAAAATGATCTAATGTTTTAGTTTGCGGCGGGCCTCCAGACATGTGGCTGTAAGGTGGAGCGTAATTTCACTTCCTGGAGCAGAACTACGGCTACCGTTCTTTAACAAGAAGAAGAAGACAAGAGTTTGGTACAGCTGGTCTGGATGAGAGGGGTCCGCTAACATTAGCCATGTGGTAACAGTTTACTTCCTTCTGGACACAAACCAGACAATGGCTGACAGAAAACATGCTCTTGAAATGGGCACAGTAGTTATTTGTTTATCATCGTAATGATTTTTAAAACTGTAGAATAAAATGTCATTATAGCCACTAAAATTCACAGAAAAATAATCAAATAAAATGGATTCAAATTGTTAATAAAAATAATACATCTTAAACATCTTAGGATTAATTAAAAAAATAATGATAAATATATTATTATTATTCCCTATCATTTTGAGCACGGCTAGTGGCATTAGAGATATTAGTAAATAGAATAGAATAGAATAGAATAGAATAGAATAGAATAGAATAGAATAGAATAGAATAGAATAGAATATATCCTAAAGTTTGACTTTTGCTAAATTTAAATACTATTTAAATAATAAATTAATATAAAATAAGACCAATAAAAATGGGCGTAGTGCAGCTGAATATCATTAGCTTTCAAAATCTATATTATTAAAATAAAATACTTTAATGATAAAACAAGCGTTATTAAAATTACTAAGTATTTAAACAGATGCAAAAATCAAAACAATTCAAAAAAGTAAATGAAATCTGAATGACGGGATCCACTAACATAGCTAGGTGGTATCACTTTGCTTCCTTTTGAACACAAACTAGACAATGGCTGACAAAAAACATGCTCTTTAAATAGGCACAGTAGGTATTTGTATAATACCTTTATAAAACTTTAGAATAAATTGTCAGTCTGGCCATCAACATGCACGGAAAAATAATCAAAACATATATTCGAATTGTTAAAAAAATTATTACATTTAAAACGTAGGGCAAATTAAATATATATACACATTTGTTTGCTGGAGAGTCTTTCACTGACAGGGAAGTACATCAGAACCCAGCGAGGACAAAATGAAAGCTGTAAACTTTCTCACTCACTGTCTTTGGCCCCTTTGACCTTCTGGCTTGGTTGTGAGGTATCAGAAAATCTCCTCGACAACTCGCTCAACAATGCTCAAAGAGCGAGTGGGATAATATTTACATTTGATTATTCGCTGTAAATGCTCATGTTGTTCTGTACTTTAGTTTTGTTTGATGCATTCCACTAGAGTATTTTCCTTGAGCAGGTAAAATTTAAGATACAGTACATATATATGTGACTGCTTGTGTTAAAGGGCTAAATTGTATTACAAAAAATATGTAAATATAGATATATTTATAAATTATACATTTTAATACAAGAATTATTGCGTTTCTTAGAAAAATTTCAAATTGTTCATGGAAAGCATCGTCAATGCACCAAGATATGAAATTGAATAATTGTAACCGAACCAAACCGTGAGACCAGTGCAGGTTCACACACCTAATATACAGTATATATATTATTTACAATTATTTTAAGTGTATACATTATATATCCCTATCATTATGTGCATAGCAGGGCTAATAATAATAATAATAATAAATAAATAAATAATAAATAAATAAAAATAAATAAATAAATTAAATAATTCCTGAAGTTTTACTTTTACTAAACGTAATTAATATTTAATAATAAAAATAATATAATATATAATATATAATATAATATATAAAAGTAAAAAAATGAATAAATATGTATAATATTTCTAATATAAATTATACATATGATTATACTTTATATGTATAATGTAAATGTAAATAAGACCAATTAAAATGAGTGTAGTAGTGTAGTGTAGGGGTATTGTTAGCTTTCACAATGTATATCAATAAAATAATAATATTAAAAGAATAAAACAAAAAAAATGTTATTAAATTGATAAAATACATAAACAGATTTAAAAATCAAAACAATCAAAAAAAGTCAATTAAATCCGAATGAGAAGGGTCCACTAACCATATGACAGAAAGCATGCATTTTAATCTTTAAATATAAACTGTTTACCATGCTGCCTACACAATCAGTTTATAACTGCAGCATAAAAACGCATGGGTTTTATATAGCATAAACTGGTCTTAATTACCGCAGGGATTATATCTTGGCATCATGAATGTGCATGTCATAAATAATATAACATTGCAGCGCTATTGCCAAAGAGAGGTTCATGGCGAGGCACTGGTCTTTTCAATAACCTGCAAACGACATAAAAACCCACTCAGAGCGTTGATCCATCTGTCTGACACTATGATTAAGGAACGCTCCTCGAAAAACACTTGTAAAACAGCTGTGCTGCTGTAACAGATCTTATGTGGCATCTCAACACAAGGTGGAGACAGCGCAAAAAAAGAAAAAAAGTTCCAATTAAGGTTTCCGCTTACAAAGGAGGAAATAAAATGGAGACGAGTGAAAGTCTCAGGGCTTTCCAACAGGTGCCGGAGAAAAATGGGATAAAAAGGCACGGCTCTGTATCTTAAGGATAGTGGTGACATCTCAGCTTTTTGCCTGTTCGCATCAGGGGATGAGGAGAAAAAAAAACTGCGTTGTGTGAAGAAAAATGTCTTGTTACGGAGGAACGGAGCATGTCGTAGATAAGAGTAGGCCGGTGTTCAAAGAGATGCAGGCCAGTGAAGCGCTCGCTTCTTTCTCCACGTCGCTGCTCTGTCCTTAATGAGCCTCCCAATAAAGCCTGGTCTCCTGTCTGCTGTCCGCCTGTCTCACTTCAATCATCACCCGCCATTTCATTTATTCATTTTATTCACTAGCTTTACTGATGGCTCACAATGCTGATAAACAAGGAAACACACAAGAAACGTGTTTAGATGGTGCCTGCTATTATTTTGAGATTTTATTGACTTTCTATCGATGGAGAGTTGAAGGAAGACAGGAAACTTTTAGATGTTTGTAGAGCTTGGTGGCAAAAACAAATAAATAAAATAAAAAATAAAAATAGACATATAAAATAAACATGTTTAAAGCATTAAATAGTAAATTTAGCAAATAAAATGTAAATATTAAAATAATTAAATATGTTTAAAATACATTTAAAATAGATCAAAATAAAAATTCTAATAAAACAGTAGGGCTGGATGGTATCAATCATCAAAATGCATATCCTTAATACACACAAAAAACAATACACAAAAATTATACATATTTTATAAATATAATAAAATAACAAATATTAAATACATAAAATAATATAAAATATATTATAATTTTATTATAACGCTTTACACATTTTTGTAGGGAATCTCCTCATCCACCACCAGTGTGCAGCATCCACCTGAATGACGTGACGGCAGCCATATTGAATCAGACCGCACACCAGACACCAGCTGATTGGTGGAGAGGAGACAGAATGATAAAGCCAATTATAATAGGGAGATGGTCAGGAGGCCATAATGGACAGAGGACAGTAGGTAAATTTGGCCAGAATGCCAGGGTTAAACACCTACTACTTTTTTCGAAGGACATCCTGGAATTTTTAACGGCCACAGAGAGTCAAGCCCTCGGTTTAACATCTCATCCAAAAAGATGGCACTCACTGAGCAGTATAGACTCCCCATCAAAATACTGGGGCATTAGGACCCACAAGTCCACAGGTTGAGCGCCCATGCTTGTCTCTCTAATACCACTTTCGGCAGCACCCTAGCTTTCCCATGTGGTCTCCCATCCAGGTACTGACCGAGCACAGCCCTGTGCTTCAGTGGGGGACCATGTGAGATTAACAGGCTATATGTATGAAAGTAAAAATGTTGAAATAATTTACATTAATTACAATGTGTGTTAGCAATAATCAAAATGTATATAATAAATATAATGATTTTAAAATTATATATTAACTTTAAGAAACCAAATAAATAGATTAATTTAAACAGTTAAAGTTAAAACAAAAACATAAAATAAATAAATAAAATTAAATAAAAAATAATAAGACATTATAGGTCTGTAATTAGTTAGCATATTGAAAATATTCTTAAAACAATATAATGAAATTAGATTTCTCCCACTCTTTCTTTAGTCTAACAACTTGGTCTGAATAGTGGCAGGAAATCCTGGACATGTCAGGGCTGCCCATTTAGCTGCCTGTCATAAATTAAGCCTAAACACAACACATCTGTTTTCAGCACAGTGCCGTGTGGACGAGCAGAGGTAGACATTCCTCTCATATCTGAAACTAAGCTAAATAAATGATAAAGAGAGCATGTGCACACCTGCCACAGCGTGCCAGAACAAGACCACTTTAACTCACTGAATCATTCAAAAAAAAAGAAAAAAAGGCCAAACTAAAAAGCAACAATAAAAACAAAGAGATTTTTTTGACTGAGAAAAACAGTCCTGTGTCATCTTTCTCTTTTTAAAGCCATAATGGAGACAGAAAACTTGGCTCCGACTGCACTCGCTGTGGAGAAACATCAAAAAAACGAAGACGCAAATAAACAATAAAAAGATGTCTGCGAAGAAACTGCTGAGAGGAGCGAAATCAAATAAATTGGAATTTCAGCTCACAAAAGGCGAGCTGGAGCACATCTGAAAACAATCTGAAGAGGGAGAGAGAGAGCAAGAGGACAATGCAAAATCAAGATACTGACTGACTTCCAAACAATCCCTGTTGCTCTCTTTGTGAGCGCTTCGTGATTTCAGCCAGCTTAAATGCTCCCTGGAAGGGCGTTTTAGGGGCCAACGCACACACACACACTCACAGAAAAGAGGGAAGGTGTTAAACTTTAACTGTCACTGCACATTCGGCCATAACAATATGTTCTTTGGGAATGTCAGTTCCCCACTCCCTCTTTTTTTTCTTTCTCACCTACACACAGAACTTCTGAATCTCACCACATCATCGTCTGGCCATAAAGCAGTCAGCGTTTGCATCCCAAGCCCAGTGGAGAGATTTCGTCCAACCTAAACAAAGGATTAGCAAAGGAACGTGCTGCGGGACTCTAGGTGATTTCAATAGACCCCGAGTCCCATTGGCTTTAACGCGCTCAGTGGCCAAATTCCACCCGAACATGACTTAGTGTAACCGCACGTTTGATGGAAAATGCTAT